AGGGAGAGGGAAAGGGTGTTTTTTGCCCGCCAACCCCCCCCTCCTTTTTTCGCCCAAAAAAGGGGCCCAGAGGGGCAAAAAAATTTTTTCCGGCCCCCCCCCCCCCCCTTTCCCCGGGTCTGGAGGACCCCCCCCCCCCCCCCCCCTCATCTGGTGGTCTGGATCCGCCACTGTTTTCCGTTCTTGAACATCCAGAGTCCAATGTTATTGACCGTTATTGTCAATATTTATTAGAAAATTGAGATGGCAAATCAGTCGCATTATCGGTTGTTGAACGTTCCGACACCTTAATTACTGGGCTGGCTAATCCCACGAACAAGTTAGAATCAAACCCCTATAGGATTTAAACATTCTGGGCATGGCTGAGACTTGATTAAGGAGACCCTGATCTAGCGAAGTATAATGGCATTTGCCCTTTCTTGTATGGATATTTCTCTATGCAAAGCCCTAAGTGATAATTATGGCCAAGAATTATATTCATTCAGGGCATACCATCCTGAACAAACTAAGTGACAGAGTACTTGCTTAGAATCTACTTTGTCTACAGCTATCACTAGGAGACGCATACGGCTATGTTTCATAGTGTCCGCGTATCTGTCGATCGAGAGACGTTCCAATGATTCTAAATGATTCTTCTTAGCTTTTTTAGAAACTGTGGAAAGGCTTTTTTGTTTGGCTAAATATTTCAGGGGCACCCAGCGTCAATTTTCGGAAAATATCTGTTCCGAAGACGATTTGAGATCTAGAATTTTCGGAACACTTCTGTAAAATTTCTTGCTTGCCTGCCTCTCCTATGATTTTCGAACATCTAAAAAATGGTATAATTGCCCATTTTTAACGGATTTTTAGCTTAAAAAGGTCACCTAGAATTTCCGGGAGCCTTTTTTCTGGCTGAAATTTTCGAAAAGGTAGGTTTTGATCCCCATAATTTTCGGATCACTAGACTTTCAGCTAGGAAATCCGAACTCGTGAAAAATTTTTAGGGGATAAAAATATACCTATATCTACCGTTTAAATACCAAAATACGTTTAACAATGCTATGTTTAAGTGGTTTTGAACTATATTTTCGTTGGGTGCCCCTGATATTCAGCCGAGCTAGTTACGTTGACTGAGCTGTTGTGTATTTAACGAAACTTAAAGCATTACGTTTTGACCTAGTTCTAATCATAACCAGTTCTACAGTAGACTTATTCTTCATAACATGATATGAAGGGGGCAGTTTGTTTCCTTAATCAGTTATTTCCTTGTGAATTTATTTTCTAAGGTATTGCAACGATACTCTCGGATCATTTTCACTAGCTCTTTCCTGATGTGTGTTAATATTTTAATTTGTAATTTTCTTTGCTCATAAAGCGGCAAACTTGTTTTTTACATAGGAAGATATATAATTAAAAACGACCAATCATCATAAATGTCAAAAGAAAAACTGTCTGGGTCATATCACCCCTCGTAAAAGCCCTTCTCAACATCTTTTTAATCGTCCCCTTCAGTGCAGCATGCCGGCGGGAGTCAATTCCTTATCC